ACCAACCAACCAACCAACCAACCAACCAACCAACCAACCAACCAACCAACCAACCAACCAACCAACCAACCAACCAACCAACCAACCACCATAGCTAGTCAACCAACTGACTAATAAACAATCGACCAACCAACTAATCAGTGGACTAAATAACTAACTAACCAACCATCCATTCACTTTCTGCTGCTTGTCCATTGACTGGTCAAGGCAACAAGTTTTGGAGGGAAACCCAGAATTTTTCCCCCCAGTAACACACACCAGCTCTTTTTGGGGGATCCCAACCTGTTACCAGGCCAAACAGAATACATTATCCATTCAGCAAGTTCTGGGTCTGACTCTAGCATCTCCTCCCAGTGAGATATGCCTGGAAAACCGCCAAAGAGAAACACAAAAGAGGCATCCTAACCAGATTCCCAAATCACCTCAAATAATTTCTTTCACTGCAGAGGAGCACAACCTCTAGTCCTTACTTTATTTTTAAAACTGAGACAAACCACCCCACTAAGGAAGCCTATTTCATCGACTTGTATCCAAAAACTCTTTTAATTATGATCACATTTTATGACCACAGGAGATGTTTGATAGATGGACTAATAATTGCTTATAGTCAGAAACTTTTACTGACTGCAACTTAATATTTTTGACCCTTTGTAGCTCAAATTATTTTAGTGCATAGCATAAAATAAAAACAAGTTGACACAAATTTTCACATCTGGCAACCAAGTAGAGTCAGTCCCATATTTTACCTTGACAGTGCTGCCAGAGATGAGTATATTCTCCTCGTTAATGTAAAGGTAGATATGAGAGATGGTGGTGAGGTTGGGTGTGCTCCATTTGTCAAAGTTGGCAATGAGCTGGAAGGAGAGATCAGGCAGCTTGTGACAGTTTGTGGACAGGACAAAGGAGCAGGAGGCAGGAAGACGCAGTGATGCCCCATCGAACGTCCTGAAGACCCCGCCGCCCGACGCCACACAGTGCTGAGAGCGTCGAGCAAAGCAGCCTCGAACCCCATGTCTAAGTGTGCACTCTTCCTCCACCTTGCAGCGTCTTGGGTCGCACTGGATCAGGTTTCGTCCGATGCACTGGCAACGTTTTGTGCAGTCGTGGTTCCAGAACAGCTGTTTGGGCTGAAAAAAAAAAAAACAGACTTTAAGTATAAATGTGTTTTCTTGTCAAAGATAATACAGTGTGATGTTTGCCGACCTCATAGTACTTTCCGTCAGTGTAGCAGCCACAGTTTTGAGACAGGATACAGTTCTTGCCATTGAGCACGTAGCCCTGGTCGCACTGGCAGCCCTCCATGCAATCCTGGTTGCAGTCCCTTTGGCCTCGGGCAGGGGCGCACTGTGGTGGGCACACTGCCACACAGCTGGAGTAATGGCTGTTAGGTGRACAGCTCATGACTGGAAGAAAAATGACCATACTATCCCTTTTAGGGGTCATTTTTATTGTCTGTACTTGACATTTAGAGTTGCAAGGATTTTTTATGTTTCTGCACAATACCAAATATTGACATCAGCACCACATCTCTGCAATAAAGTAGGATTTATAGAGTAGTTTAAAGGGACATTTCATATCTTTTAAAGTGAGATTTTGAGTTAAAGATAATGAATAGTTATTATACCTAAAACATATTTGATTGAAGGCTTTTTGAGAGGCTTCAATTTGGAGAAATGCATTAAAACTCTGACTAAACTGATGAGCTGACAGTAAATTTTACAATGATTTATGCAAACACTCCTAACACGACTATCAGGTTTGCATTAATCCAGCAGAAGTATTAAGATAATTTTGCCAGAAGTGTCTCAGGCTGCAAGGAATGTGCAACAGCTAGCTGCTGCTGCAAGTAACCACAGAATTCTTTGGAAATGTTCATGTAGAGTGAAAATGAGAGCAATGAAAAGGTTTATAAAACCTCTGTGTTTACCTTAAATTGTTCTTACAGAAGCTCTTGGACTTTTTATTGCAATAAGTTTGACACTATTTAAACCTGCATGGGTAGTACTGTGTTTTTGTCTGTATGTAGTGAAAGCCTGGGTTTGAATAAAGATGAAAGCACTCACCACACGGCGTGTCACTCCTCCAGCCAGTTACAGGCACTCCTTGGCTCTGACAAGTGCTGGCATAGGTCTGAAGCCAGTTACAGATGGTATCTTGAGCTCCCTGATCCAAACAGGTGTCCTGCAGGCAGCTCTGATAAAAGAATGCTGGCGCCACCTTGCTGTGACAGCGAGCAAAGGCGCCCCCTCGGTCCACAATTAGCCCACACAGCCTCACCGCCTCGGGCTCCACGAACACGTAGAGCCCATCCCCAATGTAGAACCGTATCCTCGTGATGACGCCGTTCTCCTCATCGCCGCTGTCGTCGGCCACCAACACGGCTGTGTTCACTACGCTTTTCTCTCCGAGGCCGCATCGCGGGCACGAGTCTCCACAGCCCACCTGGCAGAAGGTGTCCCTCTCTGCCCAGGTCATGCCCCAGTCTGTGGTGGTGAGGGTGGGCGGGGACAGGGGCATGCCCTGGCAGAGGCCGCAGGAAGTGTTGTAACGGTCTCTGGGTAAAGTCAAAAGGAGGAGAGTATTCCAGTCAAAGGCAACCTTCAGGCCAAAGTCCGTCTCCAGGATGAGCATCATCCCTAAGGTGAAGATGTTGACCTTTCCTGGGCCCAGCTTCAGAGGAATGTACAAGCGCTCCTTATTCACCTGAGTATGGAGAAATAAACTGATTCAGTATGAAAACATTCCTGAATGAACCATTTAAAGCACCAAATGTAAGTCAGAGTTAGTATGTGGGGAAACCCAGGTGCTGCCACGACTTTCTGACCCGTCAATAAAACTCTGGAAGCAACACATCATGAAGAAAAAAAAGAAAATTACGTGTGTGGGTGAGTGTAAGTGTGCGCCACTTCTTCTCAGATCTCTCAGTCGGTTTGTGAACCTGGTCCAAATGTCGCTCAGGGTCAGCGTTTTTGTCTGAGCCCAATCCAGCCTGATAAAAGATGGCCATTGAAATTAAATCCTCCTAAAGCCAATCAAAGAGGAATTCAGCCCCTGACTGGTTATTCTATCAGCTTAATTAAAAATAACAGGCCCTCGCAAACAACTACAACCTTCACAGGGTAGTTAGAAAAACTAAATTTACTGTTTTTTTCTCATTTATTTTCAGTCTTGCTATTTACAAATGTAGGTTTTTATCTGATAAAACCACTTAACGCCAACCTATGAACCATTCAGGCATTAAAAACAAACAAACTCAAAATACAAAGTTCCACATAAAACCACGTTTTAACTGGATCTTTAAAGTGCCTGTGACATCAAGTTTTTGCAATTAATTTGAATGCATTTTTGGAAAGATAACACTGATAAGTTATTGCAAAAAAAATCACACTGCTGCGATGAACAGTTGTTGAGATATTCACCTGTGAAGTGACTGAAAGTGATGTCAAAAGGGAATGTCTGAATGTGAACAGGGGATTTCTACAATGAAGGACATGCATATCACATAAGTGAAAAAGGTGAAAAAACCTCAAGACTTCTGGAACATTTTTAAGGACAGATGAGACTGAAGTAGAGATGTTTACCCATGATGATCAGTGCCATGTTTGAACTAAAAACCCAAACACTTCACACCAATTGTTGAGCACAAACACAGCGGGCTAATGCACTGGGTTTGGTTTGACTTGTTTCACCCTAATCAGACTCTACTTGGGTCTTTGAGGTTTTCTATAAAACTGAGTGCCTCCTCAATTGGGTGCTCTACTGAAACGTCTGCAACGTCATTTCGGATACAAACATAACATAGCAACATAGCAAATGTCCTAAAAGGCAATAGAAAATGGTGACGCAACTGACAGTGCACAGCACTGTACCCTTATTATGTTTGTATACTTACAGTAACTGTGTTTTTGTAGCTCCGAGACACTTCGATTTCAAACTCGTAGACCTCCAGAACAAAGCCCCTCACCCAGATTGCCTGGCCTGTGTCTCTTTCCTCATTACGAGCGGCCAGTTTGAACCGAGGAAAGGATCCACCAGATGAGGCGTGCTCCCGGTTCTCGCCCCCGCAGACAGTGGTGGCCATCCTTAATGTGCAGGAACTCTGGAGCTCAAACGGTACGCCGCCAAACGGTAGAAAATGCCCGTAACCGGCAACAACGCACAAGGCCTCGGTGCGTGGCAGGCAGAAGTACAGGCCGTCGTTCTCCTGGCAGTACTCCTCAGGGTGACAGGACGCGAGCTGGCAGTACACGCTGTTGTCTGAGCCATTGCAATAGCAACGCTCCTGGCACTCCCAGTCCGTCCAGAAAGTCTGATTCGTGGCTAGCAGACGTCCGTGACTCATACAGCCGCAGTCTCTACGGGCCACGCAGAGGCCGTCCCGCATCGCATAGCCATCCTCGCACTGGCACCCCTCCTGACATGGCAGAGGACATGGCTCCACGGGCTCATCCAGGTTGGCACAGGTCAGAGGGCAGGCCGTTGTACATTCTTCGAAATGACTGTTCTCTGGACACGGAAGAGCTGAAATGAGAAATGGAAAGAAAGAGTGTGGTGGAGAGAGATGATGAGGTTGGTAGTGAGAAAACCTTTGATGTCAATATTTGGGTATCAACTAAAAAAAACAATTAGACATTTTTTTATGGTGAAAATGTCCAAAAGACTAGAATAGCTGCTGAATAAGGCTCTTGATGTCATCATATGAAACTATCTATTTAAAGCTTCATTTAATACACAGATTTATATGTTTTGTGATGGAGAACATTCCCATTAAAGTCTCCTCCTGAAAGACTCAGTCTCTTGTTATTTTCAGATTACTAGTCAGAAATGGTCAAATGTGAGCTTTTAATTCTGTTTGGAGATGTATGGAACTAATCCTCAGTGACTCAGTGATTAAAGTAAAAAAAAGAAGAAAAAAAACCTGGACAGAGTTGAAGAGATTTGTTTCTGTAGGAGAGAATAACTCCCCTTTGTTTAGGTTTTGTAACTTTGCGGGCATTTAAAATGAACACAAGGGTGTAAAGAAGAGGGGAAAGCCCCAAATAGCATAACACGATCCTTTTCATGTAAAGCAATATCTACTCACGGCAATTGGTGACACTCCTCCAGGAAGCAAGGCCTATTTGGGCATCCTGACAAGCTGTGGCATAAGCTTGTAGCGAAGAGCAAAGCGCTGAACGGTTTCCTTCTTTTACACACATGTTGTACAAGCAGTTCCTGAAAAATGGCGAGGGATTAACCACTGAATGGCATGCCAAAAAGGAGCTATTCCCTGGGTCGTTGATGTTCCCACACATCCAAGGACTTTGGTAAAGACGCAGGTCGGTGCACATGCGATACAGGTCATCGCAGTCCCCGTTGCAAGTGAGGTCATCGGCAATTGACTTCCAGCCTTCAGCGAACTGTTCAATGTTATCTGCCAGGCGTCCGTTGGGGAGACGCAGGTCGTCTGTGGCGTTACTATTGAAGACGCCGCATAAACCACAGGTAACATTGTAGAAGATGGTGGAAAGGGAAATGTTGAGAAATCCCTGGCGTGTGTAGTGGACACGAAGGAGACCTCGAGACTCCACTACGGTAGCATTTCCTGGTGCCTTGTAGATCATCATTGTTTCCATWGGGTGGACAAATGGGAGAACCACTGGTTCACCATTCACCTGGGGCAAAAAGTATGCAAAAGCTTTAGTTACTGTATAAAAATAAACCTGCCCAATCAATAAAAATACCAACCTTTACTGTATCAAAATCAGATCCTCCCATTTGTGCTTCAAGGTTAGCTACTCTTACAATTACTGGTCTTTTCCAAGCGGGACCTTTGTTCACCAGCCGCTTGCCTATCTTCACTTCCACCACTGAGCCGTTGGCTGGTATTGGACCACACAGCTTTAGTAGGTAGTAAGAGCTGTCATCTGGGATTAACAGGAAGGTGCCATCAAAGGTTGATGCAACAGAGTTCTGGGTGACTGAGCACACTCCCTCCCTTCGAGGGTAGCAGCCCAGCAGGCCCAACTCTGCCATGCACACTTCACCGTCTTTGCAGGACTCATTGAAACAGGAAACTTCTCCAGCAAAGCCACAAGTGCAGCGGAGGGTACAGTCCCCTTCCTCGCCACTGGGGCCCGCCCAGAAAGTGCGGTTAAGTGGGTAATAAAGGTCGTTGTGCTCACAACCGCAGTCTTCCTGTTGCACGCAGCGACCGCCACTTAGAACGTAGCCGGAGTCACACTGGCAGCCTTCGGTGCAAGGGTGAGCGCAGTACAGAGGGGCGGTGAGATCTGAGCAGGAAGCTGGACAGGCATTGGTGCACACTTGGTACTGGCTGAACTCTGGACACGAAAAGGCTAAAAGCAAAAAAGTGGAACGTTTGTTAGCTAATGCATTATGGCTAAGAATATTAGTGTGAATTGGTGAGAAGTACATGGTGTACTCACGACAAAAGGTGAGAGTTCTCCAGGATCGTATGGTGACGCCAAGGGCCTGACAGGCCAAAACATAGGCCTGGATGGCATGGCACAGCGTGGTCATGTTATCCCTGTTGCTGCACATGTCATACACACAACTATACACAAAAGCTGTTGGGTCCACCACAGCTCTGCAATCTCGAAAAGGTCCATCAGTTTTATTGATTAACCCGCAGTAGTCTGAACGGAAGAACATGGCTTCTGTAACGGGGTCACAAACACTACAGTTCTGAGCACAGCCATCCGTGCACCTCCAGTCCGTGTCCTCTGCTCGCCAGCTRCCACCCAACTCTACCACACTTTCTGCCAGAGAACCATCTGGAAGCACAGGATCATCTGCAGGGTCATCGTTATAGTTCCCACAGAGGCCGCAGGTGTTGTTGAAGTAGGAGCTCGGTAAGGAAATGGATGCGTAGTGCTGGCCATCGTAGGTTACCAGGAGTCCAAAGTCTGCTTCTAAAGCGACAGCCACGCCAGACTGGTAAACCTTTACTGCACCGAGCTGGAGCTGGACAGGCAAAGTTTTCACCAAGCCATCCACCTAAAGAGCGAAATATAGGAAAACTCAAAAGAGGTGAATTCAACAGAGGAGCTTAATGTCCATAACCTTGAAAAAAGTCTAACCTTGACCGTGCCCAAACTGCCTTTTGGTATCAAGACTCGATGACCATACACCTCCACCGTGACGTCTCTCAGCCAAGAGACAGTAGCTACCCCGCGGTTCTCGTTTTTAGCCTCCACACTGAAGAAGGGCAGCCCCGCCACCTCCCAACAGGGCCGAGCCAGCAGGTAAGAGCAGGTGCCTTGGAAGTGATAGAGGAAGCCGTCGAAGGTGTGATAATGGGGGTCCCCAAAGACCACACAAGTGCTGGTGCGAGTGGGCTGGCAATAAAAGGCTCCTTCTTGCTGCTCGCAGTTCTCAAACTGCCCACAGGGAGCCTCTAGGCACTGCACCTCATTGTTTATGTCAAGGCACCGACATCTTTGTGAGCACTGGTCAGACAACCAGAAGATTTCCCCTCGTTTGTAGAACCGTCCTAAATAGGGGTAAAGAAAAGACATCCAGAGATGTTATACTGAATTTAATGTTAGCCAAACAGAAGAAGCTGAAGACCTAAACATGGCCAGTTTTTTAAAGTTCAAACTTGCCATTGTAGCTGCAGCCATTGGCAGGATCGATCAGCTCAGTGTCTATGCGGAAGAACCAGCGTCCAGGAATGTTAACGTTGGTCGTCTGTTCGATATTTACAACATCATTCGACCGCGATCCAGGCAGGTTGAAGAAGTGACCAATATCTCCACCATTAAAACCTGCCTAAAAATGGGAAAAGGCGTTAGTAATTTCCATAACAATGAAGTGATTTTTATGTGTACGAAATGAGTATCGATAAGTTGCAAAATTACCTGAGCTGTTGTCCCACCCAGTCCCGTTAAAGGATCTCCACCACTGGCTGTTCCTGTGCTCCATGTGATTTCTCCATAGTTGAACATACTGAAGAAAGCTATTCCATCTGAGATGAGCACAGTCTGGAACGTGTTCACCTGCCAACCCAACGGGAGATTATTTTGAAAAGAGGAAATTAAGACAAATTAACGACAAGTAACAAAAATGACATACGTGTAAGACTAGATAAACACATTTTGTCAATAAGCTGAAATTTTAGGAAATATTTAGTTTCGCATCAAAATGAAAAATATTTATATTTTTTACCCTACAGTTGTTTATCTCATTCAGAGATAAAGCATTTAAAATTTGGTCAACTTTACAGAGATCACGCTCAAATTTGATTTGGTAAAACAGTTCTATCAGAACCAGCGACAATTTTGTTTAACATTTGGAAAAGTTACATTACTAATTAGTGGATTTTTTTTAAACTGTCACTAAGAGCTAAAATTAGGATTCAAACTTTACATATAGTATATACGCTGCTTCAATCCCATGTTAGGTTCTAATCACAAATTTTCCTTCACAAACATAATTTTTTGTGGAATCAAATGACCAAGTTTGAACTCTACCGGGGTTGTCTGACTCCCTCCATAGAAGGTAACTTGGTGCCACGTTGCAATGAAGACCCACGTGGCCGTGAAAGCGGGCATGTTTTTGAAATGCTTTCGAACATCCAGCGTCGCCCTTTCCAGAAATTCCGGTTCGGTGGTCTCTCGATAGTAAACATCTCCGCGGATGCCGTTGTGCACATCTGCCCAAAGCGGAGCAATGAAGGACCTGCTGTCACTCAGAGGAAAAGCCTCTGGAGTAAACTGGCTAACCTGCACGCTGAAGGAGATCACCCCATTGTTGTTGACCTGTTTAAAGCCAAAGAAAGCATCATAAGTTATTTATTACAACAGGTTGGCATCAATGGATTGTTCAGATCGTCTGAAGTGTAGTTCTGGGGAAAGTTGTGTAGAATTATCCAAACTGACCTCAGCTAGARAAAAAGCTAAGTTTCATTGCAATTAGACTCCTGAGCTAAGAGCTAATTCAAGCCAGGCGAAGGCAAAAGTTGATTGCTGTCATATTAGAACAATCCATATCTAAAAAAAAAATCAAAGCAGCTCATGACGACCCTACTCTATAATCTTTTACATTGCAGTTATTGCAGTCAGTTTCACATAATCCTGCTGAAAGTGAACCCAAGTTGCATCAAAAAGGCTAAAGCTCTTACTATTACTAATTGTCTAATTGCACAGGCAAATAAATATCCAAACACWTTTGTGTAAAATACTGTGTATTATGATGTTAACGGTGATGTAAATGTTTATAAAACAGTGTTATGAAGTTCCTGTCTCAATGGAAAAAGTTTAAAATGACTCTACTTAAAGTTAGCCTTCTTAATCTTTAGCTCATCAAAACAATGTTGTTCAAACCTGCAGCAGGTAAGTAATAATTGATAATCTTTCAACAGAACATCATTTCAAACAATCTGAGATGTCTCTTTCTGTAAATTTTGGATCCAGCTTTAACAAAGGCTTACGTAGATGGAACGATAGTGCATGTTGAAGAAAACGAAGGGGATGAGCAAAGTAATTTCAGCTGAACTCCCATCGTCCATTTTAGGGGTTTCTAGATCCCTATGACCTGGTCCATACGGATACAGAAGATCCTGAGTAAAAGCTAAAAAGAGGACGAATAATTAATTATTCAAAGCTTGTTGAATTGATGTTTCAAGATTTGGGCAGATCTTGGTACCTTCTATTTGTGCAAAAATGCTGAAGAGTTGGAGCAGAACGAGTGGACAGCAGCGTCTGACCATTCTAAAAAAGAAAAAAGGAAGAGAAAACACAAAAGGAGATGAGGAGAGAGATTAAATTGAACTTTTGTTACTCAATCTGTGTTGGGTTTTTCTTTAAAGCTAATGGAGCTGCGGGGAGATGTGAGTCATCGGACGGCCTCTCATAAACAAGGCTGCTTAACAAAGCAGAGAGGAGGGAGAACCATCCAACCAGCACCACGTTACTTCTTTAAGATCAGGCTCCCAGGCCTCCCATGAGGGTTTCTGAAAAGGCCCCATTATGCAAGCCGGAACAATGTATTGGGATCGTATTTGCTCTTGGTCCCATGTGAGCCGACAACGGTTGACCACGGGTCTCTATGTTCCTCGGTCCCCYGCAGCTGATGGGACCAGCCCACTCCCCATCCTACGTCTCGGTGCCTGAAGCTGTCGGGCTGCTTAGGACCTCATTACTACTTCTGTTTGGGACCCATCCATGCTTTGTTGGCTAAAGGAACCAGAGTGTAAACACCGGGGCACTAATGGATTTAAGTGAGAAGGTTTTTGATTGCCAAGGACCTCGCAGTGGCCCATGGGGACTGTTCGGTGTCGGGCTTGGCCAGCTTCCCATTGGGAAGGTTGAACGCGCAGCCAAGTTGGCGGATTTTTCTGTTACCATATACGTAGCTTTAAAGATAATTGTTTGACTAACTGAAAATAAACTCTAATGAATTAAACCACCCGTCATTAAGGAATATTCTGCATGTTTGAACAGAGGTCGTAATAAAAGACATAGCTCCCAACAGCTGGTACATCATCAGGTTGAGTTTGCCAGTTTGTCCATCAGAAATACAGTAATTTAGTTTTCCATCCATGTTTTTGATTTTTTTGACACAACAACGCCTTGAAAGCAAGTCTCATCAGCGTTTTTACTTTTTCCCTCAGATAATAGCTGCTTGTTGATTTTAGCTTCTAGATTTCAAGTCAAAGCCTTTTCGCTTTGCAATAAATGCTTACCTTGACTTTACAAAAAGACGCTGAAGTCAAGGCTTTTAAAAGGTCGGTTAACATCCATTTTTGATGCCATCATATTAGATTTTTTGTGCATTTTTTACAATAAAAGTATCCCCCAAAAATTGTTTGCCAGGCTTCATGCATATTGCAAACATTTTAAATCAAAACTTACCATTTAAGATTGTGTGTCTGTGAAGCCAGTGTCAATCTAGTCTCTGTCGAACTAAAAACAGGATGAAGGCAATACTTAAGGAAACGGAAAATAAGACGTCTGTACCAAATGTCTTCATCTGGAACAGTTAAATGTTGAAAACTGAAGTTTTGGGGTAATTCTGACATAATCAGAACTCTTTGGGGGTCCTTAAARTGTTACTTCCAGTGCATTAAGGATCAGTCATCAAATATGTGCGATCAGGCTCAAGGTAAATTGTGCTAAGATGTGCCAAGGTGAGTGAGCACACCTGCTAGGAGACTTTTCATCAGCCTCTCATCAAAAAATGTCAAAAGAAAGAGTCCTGTCTTATCTAAMCGGCATCAACTTCTTTTTTTAATTGGCTTTTAACCAGGATGCTTAAAAGAAAACACAGATTTATTGTTTAAATTAGGCAAATGCTGATTCGGAAACAATTTTACACATTGAAATGAAATAGAAAACATTTTACACTCACCTGCCTTCAAAAAATGAGCATTTAGCTCTTCAGAGATCTAACCTTGTAGTTTCCACGCAGCRCCGTCCCATCCAGCTGAGGATGATGGTGACGATGGAGGCAGTGAAGGTGATGGGAGGTATGCAGAGCAGCTGGGCGTCCTGATGGAACTGATGGACAAACCTTCTACCTCCACGGGATCACCAGAGCAAGAATCCAGAAGTTTTTGTTTTGTTTGAAGTTTTTAGGGAGCAGAACAGCAAAATTCAAGGGTTTCTGTGGAGCTTTGCCTAAAAGAAGCAGGTGCAAACTTTAGCAGGGGTAGTGTTCAACTTAATCTGAGATCAGGGGTTGTGTGTGTGGGGGAGAGGGGGGACAGGTAGGGAGGGCCAGGAGAGTTGAGGGGAGGGACACAGTAAAAATCTGATGATCATTGTGAACTGAGACAGAGCAAGGTTTAAGAAACAGAAAGAAAGAGAAAGAGAGAGAGAGAGAGAGAGAGAGAGAGAGAGAGAGAGAGAG